GGACGTGCAGGAGGTATTCTGGCAGACATTGCTCACAGGTCGTGTGCGACGTTGCCGTTTTGCCTGGAGCGTCGGGCGTACAGCACAAATATCAAGATCAACCCGATCCCTTGCGGTGCCGCCCGCGCCTTACCTGGCCTGACATGCTGCGATGTCGGTGCATGATGTGCCCCTAGGGCACTCCGGTACGCTGCAGGGTAGTGAGGCCACCACGGCGGTCGCAACCACGGCATCGCGAGGATGTGGCTCGCTCTCTAGTGTAACCTTGGCCGCAGGTTGCCCAACCACAGGCGTCACAGTTTTGAGTTCATGTCGGTCCGGCTCCGCAGTTGCTAATTCCCGCAACTGCATGAACTGGCCGTAGGCGGCGTGTCTAAAGGGACAGCGATTGGCAGCACCTCGAGCTATCATGTCTTGCCACTGGCTGGTCTCTTCGTTGGGTCTCACAGCGCGGTCTTGTCGTAGCCTCTGGGCGCTCAAGGTGGAATATTTCAGACTCCACTTGCTTGAAATGTGTCGCCGTTCTGTGCAGTGCTCTTGATCGCAGGAGCGGGGAAGAGGAAGGCAGAGGGATGATGAGGATGATGATGATGGTGGTGGTGATGATGATGGTAGGGATGATGATGATGATGATGATGATGATGATGATGATGATGATGCTGATGCTGATGCTGATGCTGATGCTGATGCTGATGCTGATGCTGATGCTGATGATGATGCTGATGATGATGATGATGATGATGATGATGATGCTGATGATGATGATGATGATGGTGTTGGTTGTGGTACTCATGATGGTTATCATCATGATAATGATGATGTTTGTGGTGGCGGTGGCGCTGCTGATGAGGATACTGGTGATGATGTTGATGATGCCGGTGATGATGAATATAAGTATGAGCATGTCGATGGATATAAACATGATGATGATGATGATGCTGATGATGATGATGATGATGATGGTGGTGGTTGTGATGTTGATGATAACGATTATGATGATGATGATGATGATGATGATGATGATGATGATGATGATGATGATGATGATGATGAAGATGATGATGATGATGATGATGATGATGATGCTACTAAAGATATATATGATGCTGTTGCTGGTGATGATGATGATGCTGGTGATGGTTATGATGATGCTGATGGTGCTGATGCTGCGTGCATGAGTAGTCTGATGAGAAACGGAGGACGCGGATGAGGAGGATGAGGAAGAGGACCAGAGTAAACCCACGATGCATCAACGATGTTGCGATACGCCTGCCCGTCACAAGTCTCCTCATAAGCAAGCCCCCCTCCCCTGGATGACTGGCGAGCGTCCCATGTCCTGCAATTCAGGTGAGAGCCCCGTTTGGGGAAGGAGTTGTCATCCATGCTTCTAGCTGCAAGGGTGGCGACTACGAGGCACCACCATAAACATCCCAGGCCCGCTTTGAACAAGCGCCGCCCTCCATCCGTTCAGGCTTTCTCAAATGTGCAGCGTCTGCTTCTAACATCTACGAAGGTCCCACGCGGGCGCCACGATTTGAACGGGTGCTACCCTCCATCCGTGCAGTTTTCGCGCACTTCGGGTATCTGGTCGTAAACGAGTAGCGGCATACCAAAGGCCAGTTCATGTGTGAAGAGGAGCCGTTCTCGAAGTTTCCAAAACGGATGTGCGCGACGCCCAGACAAGAGTCACATTCTGAAGACGACCAGCACCCATCTGTGCAATTCAGGGCATATTTTGAGACAATTGTGCGCCGCACTAAGGCCAGCGCCACGTGTTGAAACGGAACCACCCTGCATCCTCGTTCAGCTGGAGGGAACAATGAAAGATAAAGTGTGCGTGGCGTTCAGGCGTGGAGCACATTTGTTAGCCACCCAGGGAGTCGAACCGCGAGCTGTAGGTGGCACGTGCAGTGGCTGATCCGCCGTCCACTGAGTTGGAAGGCGTATATACGTGCAGTTCAGACGACGTTCGTGTGGAGGCATGACGCGCATGCACAGCTGTGGTGTTTTTTTGGGGGGGGAGGTGCACAGGAGGCGGATACGGAGAAGAGAAGGCTGAGGACGAGGCGGGAAGAGGAACACACCGCGGTGCGGTCGTGTTGCAGGTCAGCGCTGCTTCTGGGCTCCAGATGAGCCCGCGACGCTGTACCCATGCGACTGGTGGAAACTTCATCGGGCAAGAACGGGACGCGCCGCTTCATTGCAATGGGCGTCTTGGGCGAAGGAGAAGACCATGAAGGCGAGGGCGACGAGGAAAGAAGATGACGAGGATGAGGTGGAGAACAGGAGGACAGCGAGGAGGAGCATGAATTCTGGGCTTCAGATGAGCTCGCGGCGCTGCACCCGTGCGACTGGGTGGAAGAGCCGCCACCGTGCCAGCGAACCTCGCTCTTCGTGGTGACCCCCTGCGGGCACCGCGCCTTCGACGCCAGGGCCGTCACACGTGTGACACCGCCGTTTTTTTCTTATACATATATATAGATATATATACGTATATAAGTGTGCAACTAGACACGCACACACATATATATACACACATATACATATATATAATATATATAACTATAGATACAACAAAAACACTGGCACCGCCTGTCCCCACTTCCTGGGGAGCCCTCGCGGGGACTACCTGGGCGGTCCCTAGGGGAATGACATGAACATACAAACTCGAAGGTCGCTGCACCCCCTGGCGGCGCCTCCGGCGCCGCCCTTGGCGCGCTCCGCGCGCCAGGGAGGGGGTTCCAGCGCCGATCCGAGAAATCCGCGCGGACCTCAGAGTTTTTATGTTTATGTCATTATTCGTTCCCCTAGTCCCGGGACTGTCTTGGGCTCCCGCTGGGCAGTCCGAGGGGGTTCCTTGCGCCTCTCTCTTGCGTCCCTCTCAAGCAGTCTTTGGGCCCTGTTGAGCCGTCTTGGGGCTCTCGTGGCCCTCCGAGGTTTTTCTTGGGGCTGTCGTGGGGCCGTCCCGCTTGGGGCTCTGACATTCGCGATTTTCACCCACAGAGCGTGGACAGCGAAATACACTGGAACACTTAAGGACAATCAGGGTCTTTTGGCCTCTCGAGGGCCTCCTTGGGAGCGTTCGGGGGAATCGGAATCGGAATCGGAACAGACGCGAAGCGTCACAACACACGCTAGGCCTTGGGATTCAAACCTCGGGTCAGCCCGTCAAGGTATTCGCGCCGCTTGGGGGACAAACGAACCTCAACACAAGGCTTCGCAAGATCTCGAATCTGCTCAGACCCAAACCTGATACATCTGCGACAATGCCACATACGATTGACCGCATTATACAACATAGTGTGAGAACAATGCGTAACCCCACCCCCTATGTGTACTCCTGACCCTGGGGCCGCCCTATAAAGATCGCCGCGCACGTGGGTGGGCGGCGTGCACGGGGAGCCTAACCAGGCGGTCCTGGCCGCCTTGCTCGAGCAGGTGAAACACCTGACGCACCGCCGTCCCTGCGGGTCGACCCTGTGAGACGACGCGAAGAGGGCGACGGCAGCGGGGGCAGGCGGCGGCGGCAGAGGGGGAGGGCGAGGTGGAGGGGGGGAAGAAGCAGCAGGCACGACGTTGGACGACGGGGAGTGCTGATCAGGCTTGCTGTTCGTAGTACGCATCACGTCCAGGTTGGCCCTCATTAGCCTTTTCCGCACCAGCGCTGCCTTACCCTCAATTTCCAACACCCTCGCTCTCTGACCCTGGGGCAACCTGCACTCGCGGGCAGCAATGCCTGACAAGTCATCCACCACCGCATCGCCCACGATAAAGTGCATCGGGAGCTGTCTCTCAAGAGCTTCGCGAGCAGACAGATGTGACGGGACCCAAAGGACGACGACCTCGTGCTCAGGGCGCTCCTGCTCCTCCAAGATCTTCCCAATTCTCCTCCACATGGTAGCGAGTTCCCCCCCCCAGGCTGCCGATACCTCCTGGCCCACCACCCTTCCACCACCGCCTCGTTGTCCGACACATAGACGACAGGACCAATGGTATACCGAATAGTGAGTTCTAGCCCAGCAAGCTCTTCGAGAGGAACGGATTGATGAGACCCGACCAAGGGCCCGAATAAACCCACAGAAATCTGAGGAGGATCGAAACTTCGCAAACTAGCAACTCCAATGCCCACTCTTCTGACAAGGAAGCTCTTGGTGTCGGGACCTCCAGACGCATCCCCGAAAACAAGGGCAGGGTTATCTTCGCTCCCGACCCCAAGACATCCAGCAAAGGGCTCCGAACTATTCAAACCTATGGTGCTCCAACTCTCGGACTGAGCTGGAGGGTCGACACTAACCCAGCCCGACGGGATCAAGCCCCGCATCCAGAAGCAGGTGGACATCTCGCCCTGAGTCACTGCCTGACCCACAAGTGTCTCCGAAGCGGTGTAAATGTCATGCCCCGTATTACACTCACAGAGCCAATAACGATGCAGGGGATCCTCACGCGCCTTCCTACATCTAGGACAAAGGTCATCAGTAATGAGCCCTAAATCCTTACGCCGAGACTGAGTCCAGGATCCCCCCACCGCGATGTTAACGAGGACTTCGGCGAGCTGACGTACCTTGGGCACAGACTGCAGCTGCTGGATAAGTTGCCTCAAAGAGCCGTTGCTAGCACCTCCTTCCAAGCCAGCGCCGCAAACATGCTCGGCGGCCT